CACTGCAGTAGAAAACTGAAACCAAACTCACTGCCCTGGAGTCAATTCTGACTGATAGTGAGTCCATAGGACAGGGTAGAACTATTCATGTGGGTTTCCAAGACTGTAACTCTTTACAGGAGTATAAAGCCTAGTCTTTCTCTCACAGAGCAGCTGGTGGTTTTGAACTGCTGACCTTGTGGTTAGCAGCTCAATGTGTAACCACTACACCACCAGGACTCCAAAAATCCTCACTATTGGACCAGTAGGACATCACAATTAGTGGGGAAAAGATTGAAGTTGTCAAGGATTTCATCTTGTCTTGTATCCACAATCAATGCTCATGGAAGCTATAGTCTAAAAAAAGAACAAACAATTGAGTGAATCTCCTGTACATTAATTCTTTAAAGTGTTGGAAAGCAAGGATGTTACCTTGAGGACTAAGGTTCGCCTGACCAAAGCCATGGTGTTTTCAATTGCCTCATGTGCATGTGAAAGTTGTACCTTGAGTAAGGAAGAGTGAAGAATTGAGACATTTGACTTATGGTGCTGGTGGACAATATTGGAAGTACCATGGACTGCCAGAAGACAACAAATCTATCTTGGATAAAGTACAACCAGAATGCTCCTTAGAAGAGAAGATGAGGAGACTTCATCGTACACACCTTGGATACGCTATCAGGAGAGACTTGATCCTGGGCGAGGATATCCTGCTTGGAAAAGCAGAGGGTCAGTGAAGAAGAAGACCCGCAATGGAATGGATGGACACGGGGGCGGCAGCAATGGGCTCAAACATAGCAACAGCTGTGAGGATAGCACAGGGCCAGACGGCATTTCATTCTTTTGTACACAGGGTGGCTGTGTGTCCGCACTGACTGGATGGCACCCGACAGCAACACCGCCTTTCATAATTATAGCTGTACTATGCCCTGGCAGTGCTGCGGGTTAAACATTGGACTGTTTTTGTTCATGTTGAGACTACGCAATATCCATATGCCGATGTCATACACCTAGATTCTTGCCTTGCTTTTCAGACTCATCCAATGATCTCCTTTCAAAGACTCTTAATGCCACCAAACAAGTACTTTCAATTGCAGGTGACAGAAAAAAAATTAGACTAA